ATTAATTTCTGTGTGGAAAAAGCAGATTTTCTCCGTAAAAAAAAAATAATTGACAGATTTAAACATTTATGTAACTGAAGCAGATGTCCTCCAAACGTTATATTTGAAGAGACCAGAGCCTTACAAATATAAGGTGTTGGCTCTTTGTAGACAATTGTATTACTGTATTAAAAGTAACAGCATCAACACAAAGAGCAGATCAATTTAAAATGCTCATTCAGTAACACTGCAATCAAACATGTGCTAATTCACACAATCTATGCAATTCTGTTTTCCGCCTTTCCATTGTTAATATTACTATCCATTTTTAATTTTTTATTCTGCCCCAGTATTAACATATAAGAATAGATCTGGTCTAGAAATATAGAAAATAATGCAATGTAAATTCTTCCAAATACAAATAACAGTAAGAATGAAAAATTAAAGCATAAACACAGACATTTGATGACACCCATCTTCATTAACAATTAGAGTCATATAACTACACTAGAGCACATCGGAATATAGTTTGATAACAACTACATTCAGAACAATTAAAGTAATTAACGAGTTATTTTGCCCATATAATCATTAAGAAATAGAGTAAACTTATTTGGCTTGCCGTCCACTGATGAGGGGCTCGATGAAGCAGCTTCAACTCGAGCTCTGATATACCCCCAGGGACTTGATATAGGATGATTACAAAGGGCAAGGTACCTAAGATGAAGGTGGAGATTGGGGAGGTGGAGGGATGCTGGAAAAGCTGAGACTGGAGAGAGGTAAGCAGCTGCTTATATACTCTGGCTGCTGATTGAAAGATCAGATGGGCTCGCTCCTCCCTAACCTACGTTTAGGAACTTCATTTAAATTATTAACATGTTATAGTTTTATATGGGAAGTAATTAACAGTGATCGTAAAATATTCTTTAAATAGAAAGAGTACCACAGAGCAAAAATGAAGTTTCCAGTGTATTCATAATCTCTTCATATTTCTGTATAGATTTAAAATATCCCACTCTCAAAAGAGAAATAACGTTATAATAAATAGCAGCAGCAAAACTTGAGATCAGTTCACATCCATTCCTCTCACAGATAACGAGACATTCAGTAACAGCAGCATTATCACTCCAAACATCGAGACAATCATTTTACACAAACACAAAATCACTCTGGTGAATTTGTTTTCCTCAAATGCTAAGTGGAGGCGGAATGGCAAACACTTTTGCTGTCATTGTTTCAACCTTAATGTAGGTGATGGTCAGTGTTTTACTGATGTAGAATTGTTTACAGTGTGTTTGGGTTCTTAAGTTTAATATTTTATATATATAATTCTTAATTTAACTTTAAGATACTGTAGTTATTTTTTTATTTGTCATGACAGATGTTTGCATCATGACAGCTTTATTAAACAAAAATGGCCACAATGTTTAAGAGGTTTTAAATAAACAGTAGCATAGTTTGTGAGAATATTTGGTATTTCTTTGGTGCTGTTAAAACCACCACAACAAACCTGTAGCTCTTTTATGAAATAGTAATAAATTGCATTTTAAATCACAAATCGCATTTTTGATCAGAAAAATCGCAATTTGATTTTTTTCTCCAAATCGTGCAGCCCTAAAAGTCTCAAATCCAA